TGTTTGTTGTTGTTATTGTTGATATATTATTATTAATGTTATTAATATTAATGATATTATTAGTAATATTTGACAATATATTAGTAATGATATTGATAATGCCAGTAGAAATTTATTATTATTATTATTATTATTATTATTATTATTATTATTATTATTATTATTATTATTATTATTGTTATTGTTATAATTATAATCATTTCTGTTATTAGTATTTTTATTGTAATTATAATAATAATAATGATGATTATTATTGTCATTGTCTTTGTTGTTATTATTATTTTTTTTATTATTATTATTATTTTATCATTATTGCATTATTATTTTATTATTTTATTATTATTGTTATTATTATTATTATTATTGTTGTTGTTGTTGTTGTTGTTGTTGTTGTTGTTGTTGTTGTTGTGATGATGATGATGATGATGATGATGATGATCATTATTACTATTATAATCATTGTTGTTATTATTATTATTATCATTTTTATTATGAGTACTATTATCATCATTGTTATTGTTTTTGTTGTTATTATTATTATTGCTATGATTTTTCACTATCATCATCATTATCATTATCAATATTATTACTATGATGTTTTTACTGTAAAAAAAATCAAAATTTCATATTTTTTCACTTTCATTTTTCATCTTTCTTTTCTAGAACAAAATTGCAGACATGGCTCTTAGAATCGAGTCATCTCGCCTGCTAACGTACAAAGCTGCAGCTCTGAAGGACGAGGGAAAACCGTACTCTAAGGTCAGTGTATGTTAATCACACCCTTGATTTGCGTCCAAGGTTTGTGTATTATTGAAGAAATAAGGATTATAGGAATAGTGAAACAGAGGAATTTAATGGGAATTTGAATCTTTGGTAATTAAGAAATTGAATTACATTGAAAATTAGGGATTTGGAAATTTGATTATTGAGGAATTCAGCAATTTGGCAGTTTTGGATTTAATGAATTAAGGCATCTATAAGTTTTCTTTATTTAGCAATTTGATATCTCATATCTATTGTCATTTTTCTTCCCATTCCCTTCCCTGCCCGTCCCTTCCCATGCTTTCCCTTTTTTCTCCTTCCCTTCCTGTCTCTTCCCTTCCTTTCCCTTCTCTTCCCTTCCCCCTAATCCTCCTTCCCCTTTCTCTTCTCTTCTTTTCTCATCTCTATCTTCTGTCTCCTCTCTGTCACTGTCTTTACACACACAACTTAATTCTCAATTTAACCCCCACAGTTGGCAGCCATGGCCAAGCTCTCAGCCTCAGAGGCAGCTACCTACTGCGCGCACCAGGCCATCCAGATCCTTGGGGGCATGGGCTATGTGAGTGACATGCCCGCAGAGAGGCACTACCGCGATGCGCGCATCACTGAGATCTACGAGGGCACGTCAGAGATCCAGAGGCTGGTCATTGCGGGCAACCTCATCAAAGAGTACCAGGCTCTTTAGGAGGGAGGAAGCAAGACTGGGGGTTAGAGAGGAAATGAAACGATGGGAGAAAAGGTGTTTCAAGTTCATGGGAAGACAAGAAGGACAGAAAAAGATGTGAAATGAGGAAGGAGATGTGGAGCATTTAAAAGATAGGGCAAATACTCTGTCCATTTAAGTATATGTCACAGGAATTTTCATCATGTATAGAATTCATTTCTATAAGGGGAAGGAATTCTGTATTACTTATACCAGATGCTATAGAGGCCAAGCAGAGGAAGGATTTTTTTTTTCTTGTATTTATACACATGTAAGATTTTAAATTAATATAAATACTGTATATACACATACATGCTATTCTGTGGATACATAGATCATCATATAAATAAATCTTTGGAATTTTATATATGTTGGGATACAATTTTTGTATGAATAACCTAAAATTCTTTTTGCTAATTGTACATTTTAAACTTTCTCTCTCACAGTTTATTGACAACTTGCAACGTATCAATGCAATATTATCCTTGTACAGTTATTTGCAGAGTTTAATTTAAATAAAATATAGATTTGTTTGTGAATCTTTTATTTTCAGTGTCCTTTATATATATATACTATATTTTTATTACTCTACTGCAGTGATTCTGGAGAAAAAAAAATATTGTAAAAGAAAAAAATGTTCATCTGATAATGTGTTACTGAGAGCAAGCATGTATTTTTTTTTTTTTTAAGTTGATGCATGACTTGGCCCTGAAGAGAAACAGGGTGTATAGTCCTTCATCATCAGTGGGAGCAAACACTGACGGGTGATCATAACTGCATCCACGGATTGTTTCCACAGATGAGGGTCTCATATGGCGAGTTATTAGGCAGGACCTTGGCCCATCCCTAGATCCTCAGAACAGGTCTGATCAATCTGCCCAAGCCACAACTTGCTTGGCAGTCCCACAGGCTTCCTCCATCCAGGGTTGTCCTGAACAGAGGCATCCTGGTGGGTAGGACTGTCCTGAGGGAAGTGAGCCAGCCGCCCATATAGCCAGAGTTGGCGGTCCCAGATTGTATAACAGGTCCCGTGCCAGCCTCACGGTATAACCGTTGGATGTACACCTGGTCCTGCCAATTGTACCCCATGGTATAAGGACTTGTTATTATAAAAGGCATGAAGATGAGACTCCAAGGCACAGGACAGCATCCAGGTTTCACTATCATAGAGTAAAATTGACAGTAAAGGGCCTTGAAGACTCGTAGCTTGGTCCTTTTGCACAGGTGCCCGTATCTCCAAATACTCGTCGAGAATTCACGGCATATGCTGCCATGCCATTCCGACTGACTCAGTATCAGCATACAAGCTTGCTATTAATCCAATTATCCATGTTGGGATTCCTCTCAGTTTCAGGATCTCCCAGAGTGATTCACGATAAACCATAACAAACTTGAGGTCAAGGAAGGCTGTAAGCAGCCCACGACCGTACTCACGACAACGGCATACATTGACTAGAAGCACCAGGGTGCGGTCGATTATAAGGCCATTTTCCGGTGCCAAGAAACTGTCTAACTACACTAGAAAGTGTCGTTTTTTTTCATTTGCGACACTTCTCCGGGCCGATCGCGATAGCAACGCTGCCGATGCTTCTTCGCTGTGCCACAGGTGCGGCTCCACCCCCATTCCTAGGAATTGTACTCGAGTTGACGAATCTGATCTTGTTTTTGAATTGTATCAATTAACAAATCACTGGTTTACCGATGTAACATTAGGAAATAACAATAAATACAAGTGTTAGTTATCAACATCTTCAAATTACAAATCAAACGACGGAAAACTATCGAAATCAGTTGAAAATGCGCGGGCCCTAAGCGCCTCCCATCATACTTCTTCATTCGTCCATCGACAATGGTTTCGAAGGTCACACTTCTTTAAATATTTTGAAAATGACACTATTTATTGATTGATATCAACTACATTCAAAAGGATATATAAGTTTATGTGTGCATATTCAATTATACATACATAATAAGTAAAATGATTATGTAAAACCTGATATAAATTTTCATAATATTCTTTTAACCATTCGAACACGTTCTGTAAATACAACATGAGATACTTCCCCGTATATTATTCGTCACGGAACACTTTTGGAGGCCTGAATAATGCCCAAGATTAAAGCATAAATGATATAAGAAAAACAGTAACAAGCCTTACATGACATATGCATAAAAATGTACACATACGAAAGATAAACCTGAACCTCGCTCTTCTTAGCCGTAGCCTTATTAATACGAAAGCATGTAAACCTTAAAACTCTATATTGTTATATATGGTAGTAGTGTATATTTTTAATATATATTTCTGCATATATATGTATATACATATATACATACATAAATATATTATATATATATGTATATATATATATATATATATATATATATATATATATATATATATATATATATATATATATATATATATATATATATATATATATATATATATATATATATATATATATATATATATATATATATGTGTGTATGTGTGCAGTATATGCACACATACACGCGCGCGCACGTAAATACTTCTAAACTAGTACTTAGTGCAATAATATCCTCATTAACATCATCAAAGTTACTGGCATTGCACCATACAGTGCAGCATCAACTTTGAACTTCCCATCAGCCAGGTGCAGTTGCTTGCTTATATATGACCGCCCCCATAAATAGGGGCGGAGTCATTGGAATCTGTAGTACTACACCTCTTGGCGCCGGAAAAAAGGCCTATAGACGTGCCAGGAGTGAATCCAGATTGCTCCGGCCTCTGGTGTCTGTGCAGGTGATCTTTGATACGCCCCAGAAGGATGTGAACGAGAACTTTGCCTGGTATGCAGAGCAGTTCGGTCCCAGAAGAGGAGGCTATTCCCGCTGCTGGCGTCGGCTCCCGAACCACGGGGACCGACAGACATCTCAGCCAGCTCGATCACAGCCGGTACCGCATTGGAGTCGCCCAGAACAATGCGACTATCTCGGCGAGGACAGCTGTCTCTCACAGGTACGAGTTTGGCGTGAACACCTGTTTCGCATCGCGTTTACAAACATCAGTAGGAGTGGACACAGCAATGAGAGAACAGGGGCAAAAACAAGCTTCAGTCTCAGTGCAAGGGTGATCGGATCAGGAGGACTGTCGTGGGTGTATGTTGCTTATAAGTGTGTATGTTGCATGATGCTTGTGTCTATGCGGTTCCATGGGCCTTGTTTTTATGGACAGAAAGTGGTGGTACGATTTCTGTTTTTATTGTTATAATTCCCGTAAAATGTGCGTTAAATGAAAGGGTTAGTGTAATTTCTAAGTAGAGCTCAGGGTATTTATTCATCCTCTCCACACCATCTGCTGCTCAAAAATATCATCATTACCGTCACCATAAAAAAATTAATTAATATTTCTATTCTCCATTCTGACTCTTCAGCAATCACCACTTTTATGCTTTTGGAATTCGACTCCCAAGGTGTCTATTTCAATCCGTAGGTTAGAATAAAACAATACAATCTATGTTTTCAATAACAGGAAAAAAATAAACACCGGTTATTTCGATTCTTTATTGATAGTTTGGAAAGAATTCGCACAATACAATGTTTTTTTTTGTGTATATATATTTTCTCAATATAATGATCCCATTTCATGTAATCCACAAAAAAGAAGGAAAGAAAAAGAGAAGGAAAGAAAAACGTTTAACTTACAACCAACCGCGGGAAAATTTTCTGACGTTAACCTTGAAAAACGTTATGACGGATTCTTATAAAGACAGGTACTAAATGTTTTTTTTTAAAGATTTATTTTATCTCTTATTTATTCTGCTTCATTATTATTATCGTTATTATTATCATTATCACTATCATCATTAGCGTTACTTTATGTTTATTTTAACCTTTTATTTTAAAATTGTCATTAATATTATTCATTATTTATTATTATCATTATTATAATTATTACTATTATCATTACAATTACTTTAGGCAGATTGTACAAGGTGGGTAACTATGAGAAAGACATGACATTTTATCGGATCACAGAAAGGAGACACTGAGACAGGCAAGGACGACGAGCCTAAAAAATGGAGAAAAAAATGGCCGCTCTCTCACTCTGCGTTTGTCTCGAAACAACTCTATACTGTTACCTGACAACCGTTGTCACTACACTGTCAAAAGGGTGGAGTTTCGAGTGCTAATATGCTAAGGACTACGATATATGACATCATACCACTGATGATATCATATCACCTGATCATGGCTTATGTATAAGGTATTAATGATCTATAATAATAACAACAACTCACGTTATTATCTAGCTTAACAGGTCATTAACAGTTGTGTTATGACATTCTTTAAAAAAAAGGTATAATTCAATACACCCCTTTCCCTCCCCTTCCAAAAATAAAAAATAAAATGAACAAAAATAAGTCTGTATCCCCTAACAATGGATGACTTAAAGAAGACGACTTCCTCGCAGTCCCGGTTGAAGCTTCTCCCAAGGAACCTTTGTGTTTCTGCGGGCTCGGGACGTGTCTCTCTATCACTACAAACAAGGCAATTAATGGCAGGCAGACGTGGGTTGGTCAATCAAGAAACGCTACAAAAATTCGTGGAGGCGAGAATCCGTTGAAACTTTTTTTTTTTTTTTTCTTAGAACAGCGCGCCAGTCTTTCAGAGGGAAAAAAATAGACTAACAAATGCTATAGAAGTTAAGCGTTCCTCCCATGGGCTGTGACAACATTCCCCATATCATTATTATATATGTGTATTTCAAAACTACATCGAGTCGGGTTTCCCTCGAAGGACTGGCGCCGCAGGACATACCGCCATCAGATGAGGTCGGGAAAATGGGAGTTTTACAATATATTTTCATTTTTTTTAAATCGAGGCAAAATAGAGCTTGTTATGCAGTGTTCTGAAATCCAGAATGTTTAAAGAATTTTTACATATTATTCCTCATCAACTTAATGTTTAGTTTCTCCCGGCAAATGGCCGCAGCTCCCTCTTCGACCGCCTCAAACAGATGCACAATATATCGCTCGGAATCTGCCTCATCACAGTGCTCACAAAAGTTCACACGAGAATGAACAACGTGTCATCCATCAACAATAAGAAATGATATGAAAATAACCGAGTCCTCTATACATATAATGGGCAAATAACATCATAACAGTGACGTGAACACTCTTGTTAGCTAAAACGTGTGCATAGTAGGTGTCTTCGCCTGTGTTCCCGCGGCCGCACCTTCACTGGCTACCAGAAGACGGTCGCAATGCGCAGATCGACTCTACATTGAGGAAAATCTTCATATTTCATTTATATTCCTATTCATGTGACTTTGACTGACTTTTTGTTAAATTCGAAATGCTGAGAAATGTATTTTGATTTTTTTTTTTAATCAGGTTTCCTTATCAAATGTCGTTCTTTTAGTGGTATTCTTTCTTTCTGTGTTTCACAAATATTGTTTTAAGTGCAACAATCGCACTACACATACGATGCCGTTCTGCAACATTACGACCGCGAATGCATCTTGGAATTCTGTCAACTCGGAATATTAAAAAAGAAAAAAATCAACGAGACATCGCACATTTCATATAACATTTACAAACTACCTTAAAACCTACGGTCGGGTGCGATCTGTAGTAACAAGCGTAATAATAAAATAAATAGTAACAATTCAAAATATATTAATATATATATGGTATGTATATATGTATATATATAATCACTATCAGGTAATCAAGGAATCACATAGATAAAAGTGGTGGCTGGCTTTTCCTCTTCAACATTGGACCACCGAAGGAAAAGAACACCGACTGACCGAGCTAATGCCACTCGCTCCAGGAAGGGAATGCCTAACCTACGACGAAGTCACTCGAAAACAGTGTCTTTGGATGCCTAAAAAGCTACGCCCATACGCTTTCGTACCAAAAAAAAAAAAGAATCTTAAAAGAGAGGGTTTTAATTTTTTTTTTTTTGTAATTATTTACTTGTCATCATTAATCTATTTGGTTCTTTTGTGCATATGTCTGCATGGCACCTGAGTAAGGTTAGCAAGGAGGAGACCGTTACTTCAGGTGGGTTTCTTCGTGAAATGTCCTCATGCACTCATTATTCTTACTATTGTCATTATTGGTCTTCCTTTACGAACGGATAACAGCAACAATATAAATAGAAAATACATAAATAAAACGAGGTATCGGGGCCTGCCGGGGCTTCGGCCTGCTCCTTCTTCAGCAGTGGCCAGCCGCGCCCGTCCCAGCCCTCGCTCCGCCTCAGCCGAACATGCTGAACACGTTGGATAGACTGTCGCCGATGGACGACAGGAAGCCGCCTATCCCGCCCTGGGGCTGAGGGGCGGCGCCCTGCTGCTGGCTCGGGCCGCCCACGTACACGGGGCGCCGCTGCTGGTCGATGCGGTGCTGTGAATGGGAGGCGGGGTTAGTGCGGCCGCGGACGCTCTCGGGGAAGGACGGGCTAGCGTCGCTCTCGCCGCGAGAAGCGTGAGAGAATGCCTCTAATATCTCTTCACTTATCACCATGCCCTCTTAGGCTTCAATAATGAAAGTCATGAATGGACTGCCATGCACTCCGCCACCGGGACACGGTTCGGGCGCCACCAGTTCGTGCGGGTTGTAGTTTACTCAAGATTAAAGGAGATGATCTGTCTCTGTGTCTCCTGAATGAGCTTCCGAGTGCAGAGAACAGTGGCTGAGAAATTTTGATTTTCTAGATTAATAGCATCAGTTTGTTTTTATCTATAAATCTTCAGATGAAATTTGAACTCTTTTCCTAGTAAAAGCAATTTTTGATGTGACAAATTCAAATGTATGTTCAGCTATGAAAATGATATTATCAATACTAAACTGGTGTTGGCAGTCAGTTACTCTTATGTGGTTTGAAGAAACTGAGACTAACAAGATATATTTAAAAATCATGATCCTATTCAATAGAAGAGATAGCCTGAACCTTAAGCATAAAAAACAAAGGCATGGGGTTATATGCACATACAAACGCGTATATACATGAAAAAATACATTGCTTTGTACACTATATACAAGTACACACACGCACACGCACAGACACAGGGACACACACACATGCACAGACACAGGGACACACACACACACGCACACACACACACACACACACAGACACAGGGACACTTTTTACATATCTAACATGAAGCCACATAAATGATCTAGAACAAGGGTTTTCACAGTTACAATTTATGGAATTCTGTGGCACAAAAACGAATATAGATAGATTTTTTATCCTAAATATCTGTAATATATTAAATCATCAAAGTTTTATAATTACATTCAGTATTTTAATGTTAGGTGGGTGACCGGAAATTCGAATTCATTTTAAAGTAGAGTAAAGCGTACAATAACAATAATAATAAGAACAATGATAATAATAAATATAATCACAATGAAATCAATAAATAAAGACTTCTGAAAACCCCTGATCAAGTAAAACACATTATTAACACACATGAAGACCACAAAGTATTTTGTTTCCACATTAAGACGTACACCACAACCCACAAACCACATCACAAACCACATTGCACTACATACAAACCAAAAGAGAGATACTTCCGCACCCAGAACCACAACCACAACCCCATACCAAACAGCATGCTCATGACAACCACACCACGTGCAAAGGCCACAGACAGCATGCAAAAACCTCCACCATATTTCTGCCCAAAGACCCGGTTGTAAAAGATGCACAACTTCACTGAATTTGCCAATAACTTTTTTTTCTGACGAATAATTAATTAGCGAATATTAAATTACTTATTTACTTATATTGCAGCCCCTTGAGTCAACCATAAAATACAGTATAACAATGTTTCTAATTCTATGACGTCAGATCAGTGTCATCATGACGTCACCAGGTACCGACCAGCTGAAGGCCAAAGTGCCCCTCGCAAAGAATGGTAAATGGGAAAACAGACGCAATAAGGAAAGCACATCAATAGCGACGTTTCGAACTCTGCCGGAGATCCTCCTCATCAGACGGATAAACAACCGAAACTTGATCCATTTCGGCGGATTATCCGTCTGAAGGGGAACCTCCCGACGAGTTCGAATCTCTTCTCTTATCGGCGCCATTTTCCCCATTCTCCTTTCCGTAGGTCTGTGCACATGCCACTGTTCTTCTTGACTGAGCCAGCGTTGTGCATCTTCCCCCCCCCCCCCGGGTCTGCGGCGCCCTACCCGAGCTTCCTCCCTGGCGGCCCCGCCCTCGGTCCGCCCAGAGTCCGCATCCAGGGGCGCGTCCGGTCCCTTGGTCCGCATGCAGGCGAGCGGCGAGGACTTAGCAACCACCACCTGTGTTGACCTCGATCTGCCGCGTGTCGTCCATGCACCGTGACGTCACACGCGCGCCCGCCTGTTGACCTGAGCTGACCTTCCGAGCAATCCGGGATCTTGGCCGATCGGCTTTTGTTTTGCGAGGCGGGTCATATATTTTTTTTTTCTCTCTCTCTCTCTCTTTAAATATCGTTGGATTCTCAACATCTATTCATATATCCTTATTCACATTATCTTTTCCACTTATTATTTTTCCCTTTCTATTTTTTTTTTAATCTCAAGAACAGCTGAGAAGAACAGTCTGAGACGCGTGAGATTTTTTTACAAGAAAAGTTCGGCCTAAAATTCATCCCACGCGTCACGTCAACACTGAAATGACTTGCATCTTTTCAGTGACATGCGACGAAGACAACTTTGAAAAACCTTTAAAAAATCTTTAGTCTGAATCAAGACTAACTGTCATAAACGATTAAAATGGAAATACTTCGCTACGATACATCAACACTATAAATTTCTATCTAAGTCTGAACGTCAAAAAAAAAAAAAAAAAAATCTTCCTAAAATCACATTAAATTCAATTTCAAGAACTTTTTTTTTTTTTTTCATTTTATAAATTTTATATTCTTTCGATAGATTATCACAGACAAGACCATTACCATGTTGCATTATAATTACTATTAAAAATGGCGGATATTTTTATCACATAATCAGTAACACAAGATCTATAAACATCAGATCTAAAAAGACAACTATGTGCATATTTCGTTTAGTTTAAAAAGTGTCAAAGACCGAACTGGATATAAATAACATCTACCAACTCTGTAACAGACGAGGAGTTACGCGCCTAAAACATCTTACTCCGTTTTCTATAGTCACGAATAAAGTGAATTAACTGGGAATCAGTTAAAGACAATTTAAACAATCATCAGATTTATATTATTTCTTTTCGTTTTCCCAACGATAAAGGCTTACGATGAATAACGTGCCTAAAATGTCTTACTAAATACAGATGAACGTACAGTGAATTTCAGCTGTAACCAGAGACCGAACCTTGTGATCAGAGTGAACGGTAGAAATAAAAATTGTGATACGAAACGAGCATAAAAAATATAAACCTTATAAATCAACAAGTTACTGAAATGACGCTTGTCGCTAGAGAGGTGAACATCTGCTTAAAACAGCTATACTCTCATTTATTTACAAGATTTGTTCCATCAACTGCCGTTCCATCTCAATACTCTCAATCTTTCTTTAAATCTGACAATAGACGGCAACTGCAATGAAAAAAACTACCACATATCGCTAGCTACAGATTTTTACATTTTAGTTTCGTAGTCCCTATTCACACCTTTCCTCAAAACGAGTTTATTTGTCTCTATTCCTTTGCTTCCATCATGTCTAAACCCGCGTTCCGTCTAATCTTGCACGTTTCGGCAGTTCTTCTCTCTTTATTCTCATCATCGGTTTTATATTATCTCTCACCATTACTGTCTCGCTATCGGAAAGTTGCGTCTTCCTCGAGCTAATGGAACGCGGGAATCATATCTTTAAAATCAGAAATTGTATTTAATTTATCACGAAGAAAAAATTAAATTCCTAGATCCGAAGTTCTATTCTTATTAGTTGAATATTATTCAAATCGAAATCATTTATTCGCTGAGAATATTGGATATCAATCATAAGAAATGAATCGCTCTTTCGGTTTACTTGAAAAAACAACAAATTTCGTAATATTGAAAAAAAAATCTTATCCTTTTAAAAAACGCTGCTTTTATTTCCTTTTTATTTTAGATATTCCTTTTCTAATTTTCTTTCCATTTCCTTCCAATTGCCAACATAATTAATCTCTCTTTTTAATTCCTCTTTCTAATTCCTTCCCATTCCCAACATTATCAATCTCTCTATTCCTAATTCTTCTTTCTCATTCCCAACATTATTAACCTCTCTTTTCCTCTAACTCTTTTTTCTAATTCCTTCCAATACTTTACAATGTTCAAGGTTCTTTCTAATTCCTTCCCATTCCTAAACGTTATCAACCTCTCCTTTCCTCTAATTCTTTCCAATTCCTTCCCATCCCCAACATTATCATCAACCTCTCCTTCCCTCTAATTCTTTCCAATTCCTTCCCATCCCCAACATTATCATCAACCTCCTTTCCTCTAATTATTTCAACCTCTCCTTTCCTCTAATTCTTTCCAATTCCTTCCCATCCCCACCGTTACCAACCCTCTCCTTCCCTCTAACCCTCCTTCCTATGACCTTCCCATCCCCAACATTACAACCTCTCCTTTCCTCTAATTCAACCTCTCCTTTCCTCTAATTCTTTCCAATTCCATCCCATCCCCACCGTTACAACCCTCTCCTTCCCTCTAACCCCCCTTCCTAAGACCTTCCAGCGCTTAGCAACGACCGAACACATCTCCCTTAATTTTTCTTGGACCTCGCCCTCACAACCTTGGCCGCGAACAGGGTGCCCGCCGTCACCACCATGAGCACGACGGCCCACACCCACAGGATCGGATTGCTCGGGGTCTTCGGCTGCGGAGAGAAGCGGGTGAGGGAGAGAGAGAAGGAGGAGGAGAGGGGAGAGAGAGAAAGATAGAAGAAAGAGGGAGAGAGAAGGGGAAGGAGGAGGAGGAGGGGAGAAAGACCGAGAGAAAGTTAGAAGAAAGGGAGAGAGAAGGGGAAGGAGGAGGAGGAGGAGGAGGAGAAAGACCGAGAGAAAGATAGAAGAAAGAGGGAGAGAGAAGGGGAAAGGAGAGGAGGAGGGAGAAAAGATTAGAAGAAGAGGGAGAGAGAAGGGAAGGAGAGGAGGAGGGAGAAAGACCGAGAGAAAGAGTAGAAGAAGATCCGATAGAAGAGAGGAGGAGAAGGAGGAGAGAAAGATGAGAAAGATAGAAAAAAGAGAGAAGGAGAGGAGAAAGATAGAAAGAGAGAAAGAAGGAGGTTAGTCCGAGAGAGAAGAAGAAGAGAAGCCCTTGAGAGAAGAGAGAGTATCTAGAACTTTTTATTTACACAACGAGGAAACTAAAAAATTATTTATTTACACACGAATGCATATATTTACGAATATTGAGAATTGCGTTTTAGCCTTTTAAGTGAATTAGAATTATCAAAGTAATTATTCTGAAAGAAAATTGTGATTAAAAAGGTGTTGTAGGTATATCAGAGGATTTATAAGTGCAGGATATATTCATGCATAAACTTATCTATGATACAAATATATAATATATATATATATATATATATATATATATATATATATATATATATATATATATATATTCCAAAAGATACTACTAAGAATAATCAGAGAAACGCAGAACAGAGAGCGTTTGATATATAAGGACAAGAGGAACCCCAGACAGAGACGCGAAAGGAGAGACACAAGACAAGTGACAATAAAAAGGGGAGGGAGAGGAAGAAAAAGAAAAAGAAAAGAGAGAGAGAAGGAGAGAGGAGAGTAGGAGAGTAGGAGAGTAGGAGAGTAGGAGAGTAGAGAGTAGGAGAGAGGAGAGAGAGAGAGAGAGAGAGAGAGAGAGAGAGAGAGAGAGAGAGAGAGAGAGAGAAAGAGAGAGAGAGAGAGAGAGAGAGAGAGAGAGAGAGAGAGAGAGAGAGAGAGAGAGAGAGAGAGAGAGAGAGAGAGAGAGAGAGAGAGATAGAAAGATAGAGCCAGAGAGAGAAAGGAAAAGAGGGGCATTTGGCAACACCGCTTCGTGTGCGTGGAGGGGGGGGTAGGGGGAGAGGAGGAAGGGGGGTCATCACCACCACCTCACCACCGGCTCGGCGTCACCACCTCCTCCGCCTTGGCTCCCGTCTCCCGGAGCCAAAACTCGGGACTGCCGCCTTCACACACCCACGGTAATCTCTTTCTCCCCCTTTCTTTTCTGATTCTTCTTCTTCTTCTTCCTCTTTTATCACTCTCTCTGTCTACTTTTTACGGTCGAGGGAACGATTCAGAGGTTGGTGAAGTAGATTAGTCTATCTATCCGTCTATCTAGGGACGTGAATCCAACGTTTTCTACTTGGAGAGGAACGACTGAGTGAGAGGGAGTGCGAAGGGGACGGATTAGGGCCATATATATATATATATATATATATATATATATATATATATATATATATATATATATATATATATATATATATATATATATAATATATATATGTATATATGTATGTGTGTATGTATGCATATATATACATATGTTTATGTATATCATATACAAAAGATATATATATATATATATATATATATATATATATATATATATATATATATATATATATATATATATATATATATATGTACACATGTACGTATGCACATATATACATACATATACATTTATACACATACATATATATATATATCGTCGGGGGATCTACCATGCGAGGGGGACAAGGAGGGGAACAAAGGGGGGGGCCTTCACACGCGGGGGGCGGGGGAGGGTCCTCACCTGACGAAGGATTGAAGGATTTCCCCACAGGAGCCGCGAGCCAAGAAGGAAGAGGAGGAGGAGGAAGAGGAGGAGGAGGAAGAGGAGGATTAGAGGGATGAGGACGCTGGTGGCCGCCAATTTCTTTCTTTCTTTCTTTCCTAAGGAGTTATCTTCCGGTCTCTCTCTCTCTCTCTCTTCGTTTCCCGCGAAGGACTCCCGGCGGGCGACGTCCGGCAGGATTTCGTCCAGGCTTCGTGTCTCTCTTGCGTCCACGCGTCACGGAACTATACATGCACACGCACATGCATACAACAGACACGCACTCCTCACACACACACGAGTATATATGTGTTTCTGCAGGCTTCTCTCTGCGGCCGCCCTCCGCCTCCGTCCCCCTCCCTGGGCGCGAGGGCCCCCCCCCCCCTCAGCCCACATACTCCCTCAGGAGCGCCAGGCAAGGCACCAGCAGGAAGGCGGCCAGGACCAGGTTGCAGGCCGTGCCTGCTGTGGCCGGCGGGACCCCGAGGCCGAGGGAGGGGTGAGGCGGCTGCGAGGGGGCCCCTGAGGCTGGCGGCAGAGGGCCCGGACGCGGCCTCGGCGCCGGCGGCCCTCAGCAGCTGGGCCCAGGCGGCGTCGGCGGCGGTCTGCCTCATCAGGATCCTGAGGATCTCGTCCTCCTGGCGGTCGAGCTCCTCGTCGGTCAGCTCGTAATCCTCGTCGAAGCCAAGGTCATCGTCATCTTCGTCATCTTCCTCATCGTCACCATCTTCGTCGTCGTCGTCGTCAGCTCGCCCGTCGTCGAGCCAGCGCTCTCGCCTCGTCCCTGTTCCCGAAAGGCCCGGCGACAGGAGGGAGCACGGAGGGGGGGCGGGGGGAGCGCTCGGCCCGCGCCCCGTCGGCTCCTGGGTCCTCTCCGCCGTCTCCGCGCTCTCTGGTTCCGTCTCGCGCGCGTTCTCTGCGCTCTCTCCATGCCCTTCGTTCTCTCTGTTCAATCCGTCGTTTTCGTTGTCTCCACCATCTCTATTCTCTTTGTTTCCTACGTTATCTCCATCCTTTCTATTCTCTCTCTTATCTTCGTTATGCGGTTTCTCTTTGTTTCCTACGTTATCCCCATCCTCTCTGTTCTCTCTCTTATCTTTCTCTTTGTTTTCTATTTCTTTCGCCAGAGACAAGTTCGGGGGAAGGCGAGCGTATGCGGATGTGCCACGGGGAGGAGGGAAGGGAGAAGAGGAGGAAGGAGGAGAAGAAGGAAGAGAATGAAAAGAAGGATAAGAAGAAGAAGACTGAGAATGGGAAGGAGAATCAGGAGGAGAAAGAGAAGGGGGCGGAGAAGGAGAAGATGGATCAGGAGTAAAAGGAAGAGCAGGGAGAGGAGGAGGCGATGAGGCAGGAGATAGAGAATCAGCGATAACGAAGGAGAGAGGGAGAAGCAAGGAAGAAGAGATATTTAGCTGTTG